TTAGGGTTAGGTTTAGGGTTAGGTTAAGGGTTAGGATTAGGTTTGGGGTTAGGTTAAGGGTTAGGTTTAGGGTTAGGTTTAGGGTTAGGTTAAGGGTTAGGATTAGGTTTGGGGTTAGGTTAAGGGTTAGGTTTAGGGTTAGGTTTAGGGTTAGGTTTAGGTTTAGGTTTAGGGGTTAATTTTAGGTTTAGCGTTTACAGCGTGATTCTGTCTCTGCGCTATTGTCGCCCTGTGATGACGTCAGCTACGCGGTTTCGTTGAGCGCGCTTTAGTCGAACGCGGTTTTGTGGTGGAACCGGATGGACAACCATTTTTAGCTTGGTCTGGGGGTGCCAGGTTTTGCTACAATCATTTACTGTATTTAAAAGAACATGTATTTTAAAAAAATGACGCTATTTAAATAAGCAGAGAGTTGCAATGTTGAGATGGAATTCTTAAAAGGGTGAGCAGGATCCACTTGCTGGAGAGCGAATGTTGACCTACCAGGCGCTTCTTGGGCCGAATGAGGGGCCGGTTTTGGCCATTCATCTTGTGGTAGAGCCCACAGGCATTGCAAAGATAGTGGCCAGTGCCATCTCTCCTCCACAGTGGGGTGGCTGTGGCTCCACAGTTCACACACTCACGTGCCTCTGTGGAAAGAGGTGGAAACAGACATTCAAGTAGAAGATAACATGATAGGTCAGGTGGGAGGCTATGATGTGATTTCTCACTTCTAGGAAAGATTATTGTTCTTGTTGAAATAATGTTGTTCTGGAGAAGGGCAGTTTAAGAGAGGGCAAGAAATTGGTAAAACCTATTTTGTAGAACAAGCTGTCAAATCAGGAAGAAGATTCTGCTTTGAATATACAAGGCTTAAACAGCTCTTAGCAATAGCAATAGCAGTTAGACTTATATACCGCTTCATAGGGCTTTCAGCCCTCTCTAAGCGGTTTACAGAGTCAGCATATTGCCCCCAACAATCTGGGTTCTCATTTTACCCACCTCAGAGGGATGGAAGGCTGAGTCAACTTTGAGCCTGGGTGAGATTTGAACCGCCAAATTGCAGTCAGCAAAAGTAGCCTGCAGTACTGCACTCTAACCCCTTGCGCCACCGTGGCTCATCGCTCAATCGTGACCTGTTCAATCATGAAAGCTTTCGGAAGACCTCCTGCTGCATTTGATGGGCATCATCTTGCATTTAGCTGCAGATGGACTTTCTCTGGAGTGGCATCTGCTCTTAATGTTGCAATGTTCATGAAGCACCTCTACTACAGTAGAGCAGGAAAGATCTGTCCTCATGAGAATCCAAATGGGAGAAATCGCATTGTGGAGCTCTTGGGGGCAATGCTATGGCGTGGCACGACATAACCGCGAACGTCAAAAGCACACCGACAACACCGCAGCGCTAAAACCGCGATGTCAAAAGCGCGCCGACAGCAGCGCGCCGACAGAAGCGCGATTTAACTTAAGGTAAGGTTTAGGGTTAGGTTTAGGTTTAGGGTTAGGGTTAGGGTTAGGTTTAGGGTTAGGTTTAGGGTTAGGTTTAGGGTTAGGGTTATTTTTAGGGTTAGGGTTATTTTTAGGGTTATGTTACAGCACGCTTC